TTGGTTGCCTCAAGGTGAGGCACTGCTGAAACATTCAGAGGTTGAAAGGTCGCATCTCCCGCAGTGCCGCAGCCAGTCGGGAGAGCGAGGGAGAACAGGCAGCTCCCCTGCAACAACGCGTAACTTGGAGACGCGGTGAACGCGGTGATTACAAAATCCCGGAGACTGATGATGCGGTGAATTCCACGCAGCTTGCAGCCGCTTGCGGAATTACGTTTCTAAATGTCACTGGCTTTGTTCATATGTAAGACATTTTAAAATACAGAGGAGGGCCTCTCCTAGAAAATATAGAGACCGCTCCGTCGCCATTTTCTTTGATTGTCCTGCCATTCGATAAGGTGGCTCCGGCATTCATGTGGCTATCACCATCTGTTGAGAGACTATCACACTACACACCGCACCTTACATTTCGGTTCAACTTCGCGGTCGTATCCGTAGGTATAATAACCTCCATTAAAATGTGTATACATTTTTGTGACCCTGTGTATAATTGTAAATTTGTATTTTCTGTACCCCTAGGGGCGGGCAAGGCATGCAGCACCAATGGGGGAGATGAGAAATGCATGTTGGATATTTGTGGGAAAGCCCTATGCGTAGGTGGGTGGACAATATTAAAATGGATCTCAGCGAGATAGGATGGAATGGTATGGATTGGATTGATCTGGCTCAAGATAGAGGCCGCTAGAGGGCTCTTGTGAACATGGTTATGATGCTTCGGGTTCCATAAAATGCTGGGAAGTTCCTGAGTCGCTGCACAACTGGCGGCTCTTCAAGAAGGGCTCAGCTCCATGAGTGAGTTTGCCCCTCGGGGTGAACGGAGATTCAGCTTCACGCCTCTGCCGCTTTACCGCCGGGGACAGAGCCACCGGTACCCATTGGATAGGAGTCTGGGTGGGCCCCAGAGCCGGTCTGGACGCTGCAGAAAGAGAGAAACCTTGCCATACCGGGAATCGAATTCCGGCCGCCCAGCCCGTAGCCCGTCTCTGTACCAACTGAGTTATCTCGACTCCTATCAGCAAAATATCAAATGTAATGCAATCAACGAGCGGGTTAGCATAGCACTAACGCTCTAGGTTATAATTTGGGAGGCCCTCGGTTCAAATTTCGGTGTGCACACCGGCTGTCTTGACTGAGGGGTTTCCCCTGATTTCGCTTAGTCCTTCCAGGAAAATCCTCGGACCATACCTCGATTAGACCACAGTCTTTTCCTTTCAGATCCCTTCCGATTCATGTCGTCCTACTGTTTGACATTAGCTTCTGACAGCGCCTTAAAATGCCCACAAAAATATTCACGAAAGTTCGTTCTGTCTTTCTGCAGTTGTTACAGACAGACGGACTGAAGCTCGCAGTTGGATTTTTGCAGTTTTTTATTGAGGGATGCGCTAGAAGCTGACAGAACTCGGGACGTATGGACGCGCCTGAGCCAATGTACAGTTGTATTTCTGCTTCACGTACCCCGATGTTCTCTGCTACCATCTGGCAACTATGTGGTCAGTACGGTCATACAGGATGAGTTGGGGGGGGGGCTACACATGGCCCCAAGCCGTGGGATTATGAGGGTTCCATTACCTGTCTGGAAATTGTAATTATTTATTTAAAATTAATCCACTAGCTAATAACAGATAACGCATTTCATGTAGTTCCCCAATCAGGCGCAATGCCCACGGGGCCGCCCCTGTTTTGCAGTGGCGTGCAATCTCTAGTCCACTCCAGCTTTCGCGTCCCTGCATCCCTGTGTAATTATTCAGAGTGATTCTTAATTATTGCCGGGGTTTCTGTGGCCTATAATTTTCAGACTGGAAACAGTAAAATAAAACTGCTTGCGGAGTATGACCTTAATTCTGCACTATTGATTCTATAAATAATAAAACTTCTTGAGTTACACTTTCATATTCTGTACGCAGTTTTTGTTTATTTTTTTCTGGTTTGAAAATTATAGGCCACAGAAACCCCGACAATAATTTAGAATAACTATATAACCCCAGACACTCTGCTTACTAGAAATCCAATCATAACATCCAGTTCTGAAAAAAGAAAAAAGAACATACACAACTTCATGTTTTAAGAAGCCATTCGAATAAGATTTTTTATGAAAGTGACCACATTTGACGACAGCGAGACTATTTTTTTGCGCATCACCTACCAGAAAAATGAGTTAATACCTGCTACCAGCGCACTGTGTTATAATCTCACGCATCACGTGTTTGCGGTTATGCTACGCCGCTGTCAGTATCTGGACCGTGTAGCGGCGAATGGTAACGTGATAAATGAACTGGAAAGGATCTGGAAGGACGCGGCCGTGGTTTAAGGTACTGTGTCGGAATTTACCTACAGGGACCGAGTAAAACCACGAAAACTCCTGCTGGGAGTCTCCTGAACACGAGTCTAAAGCGTTTGCCGCTTAGCTAACCCACTCGATTTCGCGTTCTCGTGTTCTGCCATCTAACACTAGTGGCTCCACTTCCCGTGCTCGCAGCCCGGACATAACCTCCAATATTGAAGGGATTCAGAATATAGATTTCAAGTAGCGTTTCTAAATAAACGCCTTTGCATGGAAATTAAGACACCTGACGACAGAAACAGACAATTGAGAGCGCTGTCTTCTGGCATGTGACGCCATGCCGTCTAGTGGGAGTTTACCGACGTCTCGGAAGAATATAATAACTCATTTTCCAGTGTCGAAGTGTAACAAATGTTACAATTCCCTAAATGTCAGTAAATTTACTACCAGACTACACGGCGACACATCCCAGAAGCGAGAATCTCAAATCCAACAGAATATTGTTTGCAACCAGCGAGTGCTTTGCTCTGTCGGCGCACTGATGCAGCACCGTCACAGTTTTATATAAAACAGATTCCACGAATGTCTTAGCTTCACGCTGTTGTCTTGTTTGGCTTACTTTAGGCCTTGAAGATCGAGGCGACATGTCGACTGTGTTTCGCCAGACTGCACAGAGTTATGGTCCAGAAGATGCTTCTCTTTGCCCTTCCGTATTTTATCATATTTATTTAAAAGAGAATGAAACGAGACTTATGATCGTTGGTCTAGAAGTAAACACAGAGAGAACTAAGTACATGTTGCTGTCTCGTCACCAAAATGCACGACATAATCATGACAAAGATAGGAAACGGATGTTTTGAAAATGTGGCACAGTTCAGATATTTGGGAACAACGATAACAGATCAAAACCTGCTTCAGGAGGAAATTAAGAGGAGACTGAACTTGCTACCATTCAGTCCAGAACCTTTTGTCTTCTCGTCTGCTGTCCAAAAGACATAAAAATTAGAATATACATTTATAATTTTGCCTGTGGTTTGTATGGGTGTGAAACTTAGTCCCTGGCATTAAGGGAGGAGCATAGACTGAGGGTGTTTGAGAACAGGGTGTTGAGGAGAATATTTGGACCTAAGGGAGATGAAGTGGCAGAAGGTTGGAGAAAACTGCATAATGAGGAGCTTCATAACTTGTACTCTTCTCCAAGTATAATTAGAATGATCAAGGCAAGGAGGATGAGGTGGGCAGGGCATGTAGCACGGATGGGGGAGAAGAGGGATGTATATAGGATATTTGTGGGAAAGGCAGATGGAAAGAGACCACTAGGAAGACCACGAAGTATATGGGTGGATAGAATTAAAATGGATCTTAGAGAGATAGGATGGTATGGATTGGATTGATCTGGCTCAGGATAGGAACCAGTGGAAGGCTCTTGTGAACACGGTAATGGACCTTCGGGTGCCACAAAATGCTGGGAAATTCTTGAGTGAGTGAATGAGACTAATGATATCACCTGTCTGTCTTTCTAGCCGTGTATCTTCCCGTATTTTTTGAGACTTATGAGATGACCTTGATATCTCTTTGTTCCCCTCCATTTTTTGTTTTATATGCGGTCCGTGCAGTATCAAAGCGAAGTAGGCGATTAGTTCTTCCCAGAACTTGTTGTTGTTCCGCTCTACAGGATGGAATCAAGATGGCTGTAGCCTTCACGAGATCTCGCACGCCACTGGAGGACGTCAGTATGCTATGTGTCGTGTTAAGTAAGCAAGCGGAAGTGTCAAACAGGGTCGAGGCAGTTGTTTGGCAACGTCCTGGTGTATCAGCCTCTCGACCTCAGACAATGAAGTCACTCACTTCTTGCACTTGCAGCCCGAAATGGCACTTGTTCATATTAATGGCGAGATCTGCGGGGGCGGGGGGAGGCTCGCGCAGGAGACCGCCGTTATTGACGTTGTAATGGCTATAGAAAGACCCAGACTTACGGAGAATTATGTAACAGCACTTATTCACTGAGCAGTTCATGTTAATAGTTAATAGTGTCTTATTTATTTGTGGTTTGTTTCACGTCGCTGTCAGTACCTGAGGCTTTATATGTCGCGAAATGATAGGATGACTCATGAGTGATGAATTGGAAAGGATTTGGAAGGAAGCGGACGTCGCCGGGCACAGGCTGCCCTCACATTGCTGCAAAATGACGGCATAATGTCTGCTCTAGGTCGCATTTCGTTCCATATTATTTCCAGTTCATTATTCATCAGTTGATCCTTTTGGCGCTTTTTAGTTAGATATTGACAGGGCCGTAACCCCCCCCCCCATTAATATATTCCCTGCTTGAGCCATCTACACGTACATATGTTCCTCCTTCTTTTGACTCTCCTTCTCTGCTTCTTTTGACCCCCCTGCATATGCTCCTCCTTGTTTTGACTCTCCTTCTCTGCTCCCTTTGACCTCCCTGCATATGCTCCTCCTCCTTTTGGCTCTCCTTCTCTGCTCCTTTTGACCCCCCTGTATTTGCTCCTCCTTGTTCTGTCTCATTCATGTGCTCCTAATTTTGACTCTTCTGCTTATGCTCCTTATTCTGACTCTCCATCTGCTTCCTATTTTGTTCCTCCTTTGTTTTGACTGCTTCATCTGCCCCACGTTTTGACCTCCTTCATGTGACCTTGCCAGGTTTATTCTCTCGTTTTCTGCGATTTAACTTGACGTCGCTTGTGTCTGTGTGCAGGTTCATGCTGGTGCTGGTGTGTCTCATCTTCAGTGTCCTGTCCACCATCGAGCAGTACTCCGACTTCGCCAATGAGACGCTCTTCTGGATGGTAAGTTGACGTCATCCACACTACTCACGAGGGCCGACTGACTGTCCGGGCACATCAGGTTATGTCGAGCAGTAACTGGACGTGTAGATTATGTGAACAATTGTGGATATAAGAAAGTCTGTCTCACTAGTTTTGAAGACCTAAACGGTGCAAAAAATAACAGAGAATCGGTGGTATAAACTGCAGCAAGAACACAGCGGTAACCATGTTTACCGCCCGCTTTAACGTTAAAGAAGCCACCATCTCCCCCAGTGTACGTATTTATATGTTCCGTATGGTTCTCAGAATAAACAACAATTTTTCCCCTGACAATAACCGGGTTTGCCACCACAGTGTTTCCTGTGAGGTACGAACTGAGTTTTTATATGTTGTTTAGTTGAGTTTCGTGCGTCGAAGGGCTACTTGCACCACGTGTGTGCCGAGCGACGAGCTTATAGATCATGTGGCCTCGATTTCTCTTCTAGCCTGAAGATGGAGGGTACAGTTTCCTCCTAAGCTCTGGGAACCATCTACTAGACTACACGGCGTCACCTTACTCTTCTACATTTAAGATGGTGGCAGCAAGCTCATCCGAAATGTTTGCAACAATTTACCAGACAACATGGCGTCACGAGACAGTAATCTTAAAAGCCACCGCCTCTTTCTTAACTCGTACATTATCTCATGACTCAATTTGCTAATTTCGCATGACATAATCTCGAGAATTATGCAACACGGACTGGTTTTATGTTGTAATTCTTTTACGTCCTTATTGTGTCATAATAATGCAGCAAACGATCGATTTGTGCGGGCCAGCAATGCTCCACATGCTTTCCTCCGACCCACCCTTCACCCCGCTCTCCAATGCTAGTTACTCCGCATCACGCAAGAGGGCAGGCATCACGCACTAAGTTTTATACGAGCCCCGTTCTATATAATCATTTACTGCTCTGTGTTTATGGCTTCAAAGCCTTAATTGAAAAGGAGCATAGGTTTTATTCTGTACTGCACAGGTCAGTCTAGTTGTAAGGGGAACCCCTGGGGCAGTTACTTATTACAGCGAAGTCCTGTATGTTTAACAAATACCTTCCAATCTTTTAACTGCAACGAAATAAAAGTAGTATCATGCAATGCTTAGATTTTATGGTGCTTTCTCGGAAGTGAAGTGCAAAAGCAGAGCGGGTTAGAGTAGCGATACCGTCCTACACCCATCCGGGAGGCGCTCGGTTCGAATATCCCAAAAGACATTTGGGTTTTCCTCAGTGTCTCCTCCAAACAAATTCTGGGACAGTAAATCGATTAGACCACTACCGCCTCCTATCACATCCTTTCCAATTCATTATTCACCATTCATCCTACCGCTCAACGCTATACAGCCTCATACAGCATCGTTAAATAAGCCACAGAGAAAACGAAATTTTAAGAAAGCCGTTGTCTAGGATATGGCGCCATGTAGATATTGTGTTAACCGACGTTTCGGAGGAACGTACCGCCTCCATCTTCAAGGTAGAAGAAAAAAGAATCCTGCTCTTATACAGCTGGGTTTATTCGACTCGACATTAGTCTGTCAGCACCTGCTCACGCTGGTTCCTCGCTCGCGGATTTTTTCTTTTTTCTTCTACCCTGAAGATGGAGGCGATACGTTCCTCCGAAACGTCGGTTAACACAATATCTACACTGCGCCACATCCAAATAGTTACCGCCGTGAAAACCTCAAATCTTACAAAGCGAAATTTGTTTCAGGAACCTATACCAGGGATATCCAAATTATAATCGGACGGATGCGACAGCTGATACAAAGCTGCTCTATCCCTGAAAGAATGTGATGTAAAAGAAGCGACAGTGCATACGTCACACCCACCTATGACGTCACATCATTAGCTCGTAAAGTGTCCTAAAGTTCCCACTTGTGGGAACTGACGCAAAATCGTAGATATTGTGTGTGTGTGTGTGTTGGGGGGGGGTTATTTTACGAGACTGTCGCTATTTATAATAAATCGTGTCAAATGGTAGAACGACAAATGAATTTAAATTTTGGAAGAAAAGATCGTGGAATAATTGAGACAGTGTCCCGACTTTGCCTGGAGAGACTGTGGAATACCACGGAAGATCTGTCAGGATGGACTGTGCTCCGGCTGAGATTCGAACCGAACACGTCCCGAAAACACAAGTATAGAGAGCTACCGTTACGCTAACCCGCTCGGCCTCGTGGATTTTTATAATGTCGAAATCTGAATTCATAGTTCAGCTTCTAACTGCACGATTTTAACACATGTTTACATCATTCGCACACTTCAAAGAAGCTTCGTACTACACAAGCAGGAGTATCCGTTCTTCGCCCGGCGTTTGGTTGCTTCCCTTCTCAAAATCAAGACACTGTAGCCAAAACGTTGTGGAAGGAATAACGCGCAAGTTAAGAGACGAGAGTTTATTTGTACATTCAAAATAAAATTAGGAACGAGGATTCGAACTGAGCCCAAAAACTCTACCGCAACACTTGCACATCTGTTTAACGGCCGTAGCCACCGTACATATTGGTAAGAGTAAAAGTAAATAAAAAAGTAAGTAAAGATATCCCTGTAGCAGGTCGTGGAGGCTCCCACATTATCTAGACAATCGGCTCACAGATGGCGGTGAGGTTGTCAGCCTTACACGCCAGCCGCCCTTCACCCCCAGGAAGATTCCTGGAACTCATTTCTGTTAAGAGGCTGAGTCGACCCCAGGGCCATAGTGCGGCTGGTAGGATTAGGTCAATTGAAATACCACGTAATGTCATCGGGATTCGATCCCGCGAGTTTCCGGCTTGTAGCGTAGTGCCTCAACCAACTACGCTACCGCGTGCCCCTTTGAATTTTATATCTTTATATTCTCTATCAGGTCCGTGATAAAAAAAGAAGACTTGTATTCGGGTAGTGCTGGCGAATACCAGCACCAACTTACCCAAAACCGAATCTCTCCGGAGACAGTGACTACTCTTCAGACGGGCTGGGCGCCCGGAGTTTATTTCCCATGAGGCAAGAGATTTTTCTCTTCTCCACAACGTCCAGACCGCCTCTGGGGCCCACCCAGCCTCATAACCAGTCAGTACTGGGGGCTCCTTCCCTGGAGATGAAGCGGCAGGAGCTTGAAGCCGACAGTTTACCTCCATCTAATGCTGTGGTCAAGAATACTGGAGCTGTACCTCCACACCTGGCCTGGCGCTAAATTAATTTAGCATAGGGATGACTTTACCTTACGCATCCTCGTTTTGGAACGTTAAAATAGCTCCCCTTTTCAACTGACTACCGAGATTGGCTATTTTCTAAACTCATTGTGTGTCTACTGTCTTTTTCTTCTGACGATAGAATCGGAACTGGTTTCCGAAACGTTATGTTCTGTTCGGAGTCCTATAGGACGGAGAAAGTCGGGCGGTCATTAATATTACATGCAACCGACGTGTTAAACCGTGGACGTTTGAAATTGATATTACAATTGACAGCATTCAGAGATGAACCCAAACCATCATATTCAGAGTTGCTCGGTGTGGAAATGGAGTCCAGTGACAGGCATTAGTGTGACACATGCTGTGTATTTATGGATTCGTTCTGTCCATCTGTCACATGGGACGACAGAATCCATACAACAGATATTCATGAAAAATAAAAGTCTTCATGATGACACTAAAATATTACAGCCTTGCAATAACTGTTCAGCCAACGAACTAACCGCATTGAACAGCATTTTTATTAATTCTTCCTTTAAAAATACAAACATGGTGTTCGAACGACTGACTGACGTGGGAAGCAGAACAGATATAATTAAATGCTGGATAGGGTAACTGTGCATGGCAGTACGTAACTTTTTTCTAAACTGTAAAATAGTAACATGGAGATCACGCGATGTGATAACACGTCAAATTCTATTTTAATTGTAATTTCCGAGAAAATTATTCACTCGAACAAAAGCAAACTCCGTGGTCTGTAGTCCGCGGACGAACTGTACCGACTAAGCGACCGACGCTTGTCGGCGAAGTTAGTGCCAACTTTAGCGGATAGTGTGTGTCGCGTGGTCAGTGCAACGGATCCCCATGGCCGTTAATTTCTGATTTTTAGACCGGAATCGCTATTTCCTTGAAATAGCTCCTTAATTTTCCTCACGAGGCTGAGCGGGCCCCGTTCCTGTCCCACTGCTTCTCATGAAATCTGGTCGCATCGGGAATCGAACCCGGGACGTCTAGATCTGTAGCCAGGAACTTTGACCACTAGACCAGAGAGACGGTGAGAAAATTATTCATCAGTTAAAATTCTATCAGGAGACATTTTCGTCTCTAGCGTCCATCAAAGGAATTCCTTAGACCGAGTCAGAAGGCGTGAATTTTCGGGCATTCTGTATAGCAATAATTGCAATCTGTATTCCCTACAAAACGAACATAAGTACATCGTACGGTGAGGCACCGACCAAACAATTTATGTTAAAACTCTACTTCATGGGCCTCCAAACAGTCTATCATACAAAAGTCTAGAATATACCACGTCCGCGAGATAATGCAAGATTGCATCGTCTGACTTCGTGATATAGATTATCACTTGAATAGTTTTAACCTTATTTTACGAAATAACTCTTATAATAAGTTTATATTTCATTGTAATTTTATACCATTTATTTTATTATATGACAATTGTCAAGTATCCAGACTCACTACGCAATTGCAGTTCAGTAGTGTGTGAATATGTTAATCATGTTCTTTGCCTGATGATGGCATTAAAAAGCCGAAACATGTAGCTAGGTAATTTTAGCCTTTACCATTGTATTGTTGTGTTGTGACGGACTTAATAGAGAATTGTATGTAATAAGACAACAGGGCGCATGAAATGCAAATTACAATATGGCTATGTGTATAGATCATAAGCAGATAATTCTGTTGTTCGATTAGTGTTCAGCTAGAAACAATGTAAATGTATACAGGTAACAGTTTCTCCTTGCAGTTTGTTTAACGACACCACCATTAGCTCTGACTACGAAGCTTCAACTGACTGGATGTCTGGTGAATAGTAATAAACTTGAGGAAATTTGGAAGGAAGCAACTTTGGCGTAAAAAGCTGAGGTATTGTCTGGAGAACTGCGGAAAACTACGACAAATGCAATCAGGGTAGTCGGTTTTGGAGCTAAGATTCGAACCTAGAAGTTCCCAAACATTAAGGGATAATGCCAACCATTCTACAACATTTTGGGTACCACTGCCGTTAACATTAGGAGCCAGGATGGCTCAGTCAGTATAGCGAGAGGCTACAGGCTGGACGACTGAGGGGTCGGAGTAGGGGCAAGAATTTTCTTTTCTGCACTTCGTCCAGACCGACACTGGGGTCCACCCAACCTCCTATTCAATGGATACGCGGAGCTCTTTCCCCGGGGGTAAAGCGGCGCGGCGTGAAACTGAACACACCTCCAGCAAGTGCCGAGGTCAAAACAATGTGGATCTATACATCTACTCCCCCATACGCCTTCATGTCGTATTGCTTAATTAGTTAAGCACAGGGACAACTTTACCTTTTTTTTTTACCTTTTACCTGCCGTTAACATTACATATATAGGACATGTTAAACGTAGAGTTATGTTAACTTCTGAAATGCAAGAGAGTATTAAAAATAAAATGAAAAGTCGGTCTGCATACAACAGTAGAACAGTGCGCCGTGAAGACTGCATGCTTCTCTGTCATGCATTACCAACGTTTCGGAGGAACATTCGGCCCCCATCTTCAAGGTAGGAGAGTAAAATCGAGGCCGTGTAGACTAGTAGATCATTATGAACGTTCCAGCGGAATCTGTACCCTCTGTCTTCAGAGTAGAAAATTAAGTGTGAGGCCGTGTAGTGTGGTAAATTATCGACGTTTCGGAGAAAACTGCACTCTCCATATTCAGGTAGAAGAGGAGGAGTGTGATGGAGGTTTCGGAGGGACCCGCTACATCTCTCCTGGAGGTATAAGGGCCGTGATGTCGCCGTAAGGTTGGCAACACTCTGCCAGGCTGTAATTATACTCGTAATGTAGGTGGAACAGTGCAGCAACCGGAGCAGAAGACCTTCGGTGTCCCTGTCAGCGGACCGTGTTGAGTCTGCCCGTCGAACGCAGAGCCAAGTTTCAATCTAATGGAGGACGGATTTAATTGCTGTTTATCTCATAAATTTTATTTCACAATGACGTGGCAGCTCCAGACATTTGTGTGGGGGGGGGGTCTGCAGTTGCAAATAGCTTGTATAGACCCCACAAGCTGTGTACTTCGAGGCGCCATCTGTGGATGTCTGTCAAGGCTGATCGTGGAACACACCCAGTTTCGTCGCGAATTAAGGCTGCCGTACTACGAAATAAAGTGTGCCACGAAATTGGGTAGTTGAGTAGCCGTGCTACAAGCTGGACGACCCAAGAGTCGGGGTTTGTTTCTCCTCTCCTACAGAGTGCATACCGGCTTCGGGGAACACAACAGTCTCTTACACAGTGCATACCGGTGGCTGCTTCCAGTTACAAAATGGCCGCAGCTTGAAGGTGGCATCCATCTTGTGCACGGGTTAGGAAAGTGTAGACCTCTCCCGCCGCATTCGTTCGTGTTTCATGGCGCGGTGCTTAATTAAGCACAGGGACAACTTTACTTTTTACTTACATTTTAACACTTCTAGAGCCCACACAAAAAGAAAAGCGCGGTCTCGTCTTATCGCCTTCTGCTTTCCTTATTACCCCTTCTTCCTTCTGTCTTATCCTGTTTTATATTCCACCCCCTTCTTCTGCTCGTCCTATTTATCTTCCCCCTTTCCTCTTCAAATCCTTTTCTCTTTTCTTCTCGTCTTTCTTTTACTCTTCTTCTTCCTCTTATTAGTTCTCCTACTGTTCTTATTGTTTTTATTTCTCCTTTTCTCCCCCTCCTAGTCCTATTTCCCCTCCTACTCTTATTTCTCCTGTTCCCGCTCATCCTGGCCTTTCCCCGGGTACGCACCCAGGAACCTCCAGACGTGCCGGGATGCGAACCAGAGTCTTGCGGCGCCCACGACTGAGCACCCTGACCATGCAAATCGCAGTCAGCAAGTAACACGTATAATTCCTTAAGCACGCGATTTCGTGGGAAATGAGCCTTATCGGTTTATGTAATGTTGTACCAAGTATTAAATTGAGTAGTAGAACCGTTTCATGTCTGATAATGTTTAAACAAATTGTCGCCGTTCGTTTGAAACACCAACGTATTAAAATGTACAAACTTCTGTGTACTTGATACCCTTAAACAGAAATCTTTAGTCGACACGCGAATGCGGAAGTGAAACATGGACATGACATGAAGACAGCGGCTCGTTGGGCGGAAACAAGAACGGGGAAATGAGAAATGCGTACATAATTTTATCCGGAAACCTAAATAGAAGAGAATTACGGATACCATTACAACTAATCTTACAAAAATATGGTACGGAGGTGTGGATTGGATTCATCTGGCTCAGATATGGTGCAGTGGAGCGCTGTTATGAACATGGCAATGAAGCTTCTGGTTCCTTAAAAATACTTGCTTAGCCGAGTATACAATTCCCTTCCGTGGTGCCAGGGAACCAGTTAGAAAGAGGCGAGGAATTGCGAAATTGCCGATAGGAGGAGCTTTACGTCGAACTGATCCTGACATTTGACCGTTTTGCTGTACCAAGCCGACGGCCCATGTTTCAATGCGCGCTATTTGCAAGCTAAATCAATTAGACCCTAATGCCGGAACCGTTTCTCGCTCTCCTGTTATGTTTGCTGTTCATTACTTCATAAACATGCGGCCCTTTTAATTGGCAATTGTCATTTTGTGTGTGCGGAGTTCATCTGAACCCCAAGGGATGTTGCATTTAGGTCATGCGGCTTCGTTCTGCCTTCAGTCTCTGCTACGCTTCAAGTTGATGGTTCAACTCCATCTAATGCAGAGGTCAATTATGGTGGAGGTATACCTTCACTCCCCAACACGCCTTCGTGGCATATTGCTTAATTTTCGGTGGAACCTCACTTTCATCTTGATCTGTTCCAGGAAATATGTTTGGTTGTGTTCTTCGGTGTAGAGTACTTGGTTCGACTCTGGTCTGCGGGCTGCCGATCCAAATACATGGGTATCTGCGGTCGACTGAGGTTCATCAGAAAACCGATATGTATAATAGGTGAGTTTTGGGGCTGTGCACATGCTGCATTAATGATTATGCTGCTGAAACTGACCATTGACCTTCATCTAGTGCCCAGGTTGAGAATGGTGGAGATGTACCTCCACTCCTATATACATCTTAATGGCGCAGTGCTTAATTAATTAAGGCCAGGAATAACTTTGGGTATTATGCTACAAGCTGGAAGGTCGCAGATCCGATCTTCGACAAAGTCATTGGATATTTCAGTTGACCAACTCCTACCAGCCACAATGTGACCCTGGGGTCGAGTCAGCCTCTAACAGAAATGAGTACCAGGAATCTTCCTGGGGGTAAAGGGCGGACGGTGCGTAAGGCTGACAACCTCACCGCCATCTGCGAGCCGACTGTCTAGAAAATCTCACAACCCTATGGGCCTCCACGGCCGCAGGGATAGCTTTACATTTTGCTCAAAATTAATAATAGTAATTGGTCTGTATGACTAAAAGTTGATGAGGTAGAAGAATAGGCTGTGTGTTTTCTGCTCAGATCTCGCCGAAGCTTGGGTATTTGGGTTTCTGTTTTCCTTCCATTTTTACAGTCATTCTCTTACACATATCCGCTCATTTATGAAAATTCTTTGGTACTGTAAACAGTTAGGTTATGTGTGAGCACAGGAAAATTGTGTACATGATGAGGAACAGAACCCCGGAACATGGGCATTGTTTTGAAATGTTATTGTTAAAATAATTTGTATCTGAAAGGTTAGAGTTCAGACATGAAAGGATTGTCATGTTACAAAAGGGGAAAGCATTAAAACAAACTAACACACACCTCTGATATGAATAGCAGCTGGCCGGTGTGGCAAGCTAGAAAACTGAATTTGCTAGATGGTTATGTCATCACCAGGTGAAACAGCCTGAGGGTGGAAAGGGCACACAAACAGACCTGTTTTCTCTAGCCCAGTCAGGATAAGAGCTAGGCTGTGGTCAGCATGATGAAAGGATTGAAGTTTGATTCCCAGCAAGGGCAGATGGAATTCTTTCTCTGGAGAGTGCGCTGTTTCTGGAGCTCACATCCAATGAGATCTCTCCCTGAAGCTGAACACTCACCCTCCATCTAGTTCCAAGAACATATGGAGCTATATTGACTCTTCCCCATACGCCTTTATTAATTAAGTATGGGGACATCTTTTTGTTCTTATTAGTGCTCAGAATTCAGAAGCAGATATATTTGAATGTATAGAATCAGGAACAAAAAAATATGTATTCGTAATTATAACTTGGAAACCATAAATTATCGCTTTAATCGTCATGGATAATGGCCACGCCCGTCCACACAAAAATGGGGGGGCATGTGTCTGTGCATTTATTTATGCACGTATGAAAGTTATCCATGTGCTAAATTAAGCACTGTATCGTAATACACATGCGGGAACAGAGGTTTACCTCCATATACTCTTAACCTTTGCTCTGCTTAGAGGTGAAAAGCTAGCTGCACTTCCTAGTCATTTTACCTCTGGGAAAAGGTCCCCTGGGATCAACTTAATAGAATTCTGGGTGTCCCCAGACCCCATCTGGATACTATGATAAAGAGAAACTCTTTTGCCTCTGCTGGGAATCCAACCCTGATTCTCTGGATGTCCATGCTAGCCACTATATTGACTGAGCTGTCTTATCATCTCGTGCCACTTATAGGGCTACAACTGATGAAAGCATTACTATGCAGGATGAGTCTTGAAGAGTATGGAAATTGTTCTAGAATATTAGATCTGAGGTTTTTATAGCACTGCCAGTGTACATTGTGATCTTGTAGGTTATGATGCCATGTAGTCTGGCCAGTGTTTGTGAGGAACGTGTTGGCTCCATCTTCAGTGTAAGCTTTATAGGAGCCCTCAGTATTGAAAAAAGCTCCTGCCTGACTGTTGGACAGCTGTGTGTGTTCCAGTGCTGGGTGAAACAAATGAACTGTTCATATATTTCAGATCTAATAGTGGTGGTGGCTTCCATTGTGGTACTGTCTGTGGGTTCCAATGGACAAGTGTTCGCAACGTCAGCCATTAGGGGAATTCGCTTCCTGCAGATTCTGCGCATGCTCCATGTAGACCGTCAAGGTGGAACATGGCGTCTCCTAGGCTCCGTTGTTTTCATTCACAGACAGGTATAACAGCCAATACAGTTCCTTTAAAAATAACGTGATGACCCAATTAATACACTAAACAAGATTTGATGTCCTCACAGCAGTCAGCATGAAGATCCTGTCTTCTGTAATAGTAACGATCAAGGATGTGATAATGTGCTGCCTGGCCTGGGTATTCATACATACATAGGAAAGCAATAGATGTGTATGGACCATTGGTGAAGTGATGATTAGTGGGAAAGAAACCTGAAGCAGCTTGGAGAAAATTCTCTTGCACTGATGTTCCATCCATGATTAACCTCATATAAAGTTACCCAAGATTGAACCCAGGGCTTCGTGTCAAAATTCTGGTGCCTTACCTCCAGAATGCTGGCACAGCTGTCATTTCAAATGTTGTAAATAATGTACAGAAATTAGAATAACATAAATCGTAAAATAGTCCACCCATATTATAATAATATCATGGTACTCGGGTATGGGTTGGACCTACCTTGCAGGAGATGCACTGTTGTTTTGTTTTCATGAGAATAACACGAGTCTGGTAACAAGTCTGACATTGCCATGAGCATTGGTACAAATGAAGTATTATGTACACTGCCTTGTATATTTCAGGAACTCATTACAACGCTGTATATTGGTTTCCTGGGGCTCATCTTTAGCAGCTATTTCGTGTACCTGGCGGAGAAGGATGATAACGGAAAGACTGACTTTGCCAGCTACGCTGATGCACTGTGGTGGGGAGTGGTACGTGGCGATAGTCATAAGGCACAAGATATACTGTAGCAATGTAAAGCAAAAAATAAATTGTCCCCATGCTTAATTATGCCCTCATGCCATGAAGACTTGTACTGGAGCGTGGCTGTATAGCTCCATGCATATTTGTGCAAGATTTGAAGTTTTCATGGCAAATAAATGTATGAAAATCTTTTCAGATGATCAGCTGTGTCAATGTTGAGTTAGAAACCAGCGTTTCAGAGATCTCATTCTCCATTGTCAGGCTGGATCGTGATGTTTGAAACAGCAGAGATCCATGAAAATGATTGCTTGTCTGAAAATATTTTAGTTAATGCATTCTTGACATTGACACTAGATGGAAGTGAGTGGTTAGCTTCATGGCTCCATTGTTCCAACCCCAGAGTAAGAGCCTCTCCATCAATTTCATAGAAGGCTGGGTGGGTGCCACAAGGAAATTTGATCTTGTGGAAAGATGAAAATCTGTTTCCCTCAGAACTGAACTCCAGTTCCTTGATTGTCTGGCCCATAGTCTGGTCACTGTACTGAGATATCCCAACCCCCCAAAATATTGTAGTCAGAAGAAAAATGTATTATAATAAAAGTTATATGTACTATGAATGGGATTTGAAGTTTTTCAGTAGTGAAAAATACATCACGGTCTTCTTGGTTATAAGATTGTGTAGGTTGATTCATTAACGGTATTTTGGATGAACCATATACCTCCAGACCATACATAACTATGTGAAGAGCTGTATGATGTGACACCGCAAAAGAAATTAATCTTGAAGACAGCAGCAACTGGAATGTTCACCAAAATGTTGGAAATCCTTCAGCATTCTACATAGCTTATTCTTGCAACCCAAAATGTTACATTAAAGTCCAGCTGCAAAAACCTAAGCACATGTGGTGTCTTCTATACTTACTGCGTTTTCTTGTAAAACGGCATCGTCATTTCTCTGATTTCAGATCACAGTGACAACCATTGGCTACGGAGACACTGTACCCAAAACGTGGATGGGAAAAATTGTGGCTTCATGTTTCAGTGTGTTTGCCATCTCTTTCTTTGCTCTGCCTGCCGTAAGTAAATGAATTGAATTATAGTTGATACAGATTATGGTAGAATTAATGAATCTTAGTTACCAGTTGTGATATTACTGAAACTAAAGAGAGGCTACAGGCTTGCCACTTGTACCATCTGTTTTTCAGGGCATCCTGGGCTCAGGATTTGCCCTTAAAGTACAACAAAAACAACGACAGAAACACTTCAATCGTCAAATTCCAGCTGCAGCGATGTTGATACAGTGCCTATGGCGATGTTATGCTGCAGACAAATCATTCAATAGTATCGCCACATGGAAAATTTATATAAAAGATGTAAATCAACAAAACCAGAACACATCCACACCCTTGGGCAAGGTAAGTATTATTTATGGCATAAACTAATGTTAGTCCATGACTAATTAGTCTTGCATAAAAGTAAAATGTAAAGTTGTCCCTATGCTTAATTAGTTAAGCATCTTATCATAAAGATACATGTGGAAATGGAGGTATGGCTCCACCTCTCTTAACCTCAGCATTAGGTGGAGGTGAGTGATCAGCTTCATGCCCTGGGGAAGGAGCTCCAAGTTCCCATTGGATAGGAGGCTGGGTGGTTCTCAGAGCCAATCTGGATGCTGTGGAGAAGAGAAAAGTCTCTTGCCTGGCCAGGAATTGAATCTTGATTCTATGGCTTTCCAGTCTGTAGCCCTTCATTATACTGACTGAGCTATGCAGGCTCTGTTCGTAACAATGTAAATGTTTATTCTGACAAACAGAAGCAAATAAAGTAATTGAAATACAAGTAAATCAAATATAATTTAAGTATATTACATGGTATCATAGTCGGTTGAGGCACTATGCTACAAGCTGGAAGATCACAGGTCCAGTTTCCAGTGAGGCCACTGGATTTTTCAATTTACCTAATCCTTCCAGCCGCAATATGACCCTGAGATTGACTCAGTCTCTAACAGATATGAGTACCAAACGTTTTCTGGGGGTAAATGGCGGCCGTTACATAAGGCTGGCAACCTCACCGCCATCTGTGAGCAGATTGTATGGAAAATGTGGGAGCCTCAATGCCTCACAACCCTATGGGCCTCCACGGCCTGTTACAGGGATAGCTTGGCGCGTAAGGCTGACAACCTCAGCGTCATCTGTGAGCTGACTGTCTAGAAAATGTGGGAGCCTCAACGTCTCACAACCCTATGGGCCTCCATAGCCTGTTGCAGGGACACCTTTACATTGTAAAAATAGAATATAATGAAATTTAGAATGTCATATGGAATGTTGAATTTAATTTCTAAGATAATTGTGTTAGAGCTTTGTAGAAACATAACTAATAACAGTACTAGCCATGATAGTGGTGTTAATGGTAAAAAAATCCCCTACCACAGCAGCAGTAATATTTAATTTTGAAATTTCATGAAATATGTAAGAGCCTGTCTTTATTAACATGTTACAAGATGTAAACCATGTTACATGGGGATGACTGGAGAAAGATACGGAAACAAAACCTTGCTTATGTTCAGTTTGCTGTCAGTGTTTAGTTATCTGCTTATGTTTCATTTGACAACAATTAATAATAGTTATATAGCAGTGAATGATGGAATAATTAGTAGATTGGAAGGAAGTGGTCATATCCTGATGCAAGTCACTATCCCAGCATTGGCTGGAGGGACTGAGGAAAACCATGAAAAACCTAAGCCAGGATAGCATATGTTCAGGTTGAGATTTCAACCCAGGACCTCATAAACATGAAGCAGGAACGCTAACAAACAACCGTGACATTTGATGTGATTATGTAATGTTGGTGAATTATAGGTAAGAAAAAATTGCATTGATGGATATTCGAATGCCTTTGGTGTTGTTTTAATGGAGATCAGCATGGTACCAGTTAGTGAGGGCTATAAATATGTCATACAATATTTTTTTTCTGGGAATGATTATCAAGTAATATGTGAAGCAACGTAGAAACTTGATATGATTTGCAAGTGAATATAGCTTACTTGACATTGATTGGTTTCATGTAGCTTAATATACAGGATGATTCAGTCTTCTAATCTTTGTGGGTACATCACTCAGGTGACTTTATATGAAATAATTCATATTAACATGGTTCCATTTCAGAAAGCTTAAAATGAAGATACACCAGATATAATTGTTTTTAATTGAAAATTTCACAATAATGTCATTATAAAAGTGAAACAGTGTTTATTTAATGTTATGTAATGTTTAATGTTCACATGTTACAAAAACTTTTGAAGCGTCCACCTGTCACTTGCTGTACATATGAGTGTGTTGTTACTGTGAATACTGTCTTCAAGTGTGCATCAGGCAACAGATGGACCCTTCGAACAATGTTTGCAGCATGTGCCATTATTATATAACACTTTTAAATTTTGCAGTGAAGTTATTGTGAATATTTTAATTAAAACTCCTCGTTTCTTGTACATCCCTACCTTACTTCAGTACTGCCATGGCTCCTTATACATTCTCAATTGGACCGATGTTAATATGATTTTCTTTTGCTCGAAATAACAAGATTAATATATCATGAAGTTTAATGTATTCCATCTGAATCATCCTGTATTTAAACATAAGTGTGCAAGAGCTTGGAAGTGGTTTTATGAAAATCTGTTCAGTGCTCAATGTGGTGTGTAACTAGTGTAGTGTACAGCTGCTGTTCATGAGTGTGAATTGCATTAGGGCTTTACCTGTTATGAAGGTGGATGCAGTAAGTGGCAGATTAGTGTTTCCCTTGTTTTAGTGGCCTCAGGGAGAGACATTGGACTCTCATTCAGAGGGTTCTGAATTCAATCCCTAGTCAGATGTGTCCCCCCCTCCCCAAAATTTCTGCAATAATAGGCTGAAACTTTCACCTCCACCAAAAGCTTCGGGGATTTGAAGGATTCTGGGCTCCATCCCACTCACTGGTTTGAGGTTCTGAGGTTCCCCTCTCATGACAAGCACCCTTGTTATCACCCTGTCATCACAGAAACAGAATTTGCTCAGTGGGTGCCCGTTCCTATGGTCCTTCCCTAGGTGGGCAGATGCTTGATAGGTGAATGCAAACTATATCTGAAGGTGGTAGACAAACAGCAGGTTACTGTCTTCTGGAATATTATGCTTAGATCATTGGCAGCATTTCATCGAAACAGAGTGAGCAATTGAGTGAATGTGTTTGTTAGAGGCTTGACAGCATCTTTGGCTCCTTGCACTTGTCTAAGATCTAAAAAGTTGTGTAAATTTATTCAGTGAAATAATAGGTACAATGCGATGCAAATGGTCAAAACCTACACTGTATAACAGCAGTTGCAGTCTGGAAGCAGCAGTTCCTTCAAAAGTTAGTACCACTCTGCCAAACGTTGCTATCTAGCATCCATGAAGACAGTAACTTTAATATTCTCTGTGCCAGAACATGCAGATATCATTGTTATGATATCAGTAATAACAATTAGAGGTACCATAATAAGATTTAAATAAAAATAGGTGGTAGGAAAGATGATTCAGTTGTGGCTTTGCATTCTGTGTTCCTTGTTATGGTTGCAGTATGCAGCTTTTTAGTTTGTCTTGCCACTAACTGCAGTATGCAGCAAATAATCCATGGGATTCAGCTCATATTGCTGAAAATGGCTCTAAATATCTTCATCATACAAAGTGGAACGTGGCATGTGCATGTAGGAAAGTGTGAGTGCAGGTAACTTTTGTTTTACATGAAACCAGAAAGCACACTGAATGAACAGTGAACAGGGTGGAGAAAGAGTAGGCAACAAAATGGTGGTGGTGTCAAAATGCTGAGCTTGGTCAAGGAAACTGCCCTCATGATTCAGAGGGCACAAGCAGCAGCTTCTACAGTGCCTGTGGATAGGACATTGATCCTCCTTGTGAAACTGATATAAATATGTGGATAAATCTCTTGTTTTCATAAATCCTATAATGTGACTGTATATGTAGGGCAGTCAAAAAGCTCCCAGAATTCCCCTGCAGATGGAGAACGAGCGATAAGATAGCGCACACACTATTGTGGTGGGAAGCTCAGCATGTCTGCTCGCAGGCGCAACAGGTCTGGACAGGTTTCAGTGTGCAGTGTCGTTACTGTTCTGTATGAATTAGATATGAATGTTGGTCATTTGGTGCAATATCGCAGTTCGAACGGCTTGCAAACATCAAGTTCTTGTGCAAATTGGGAAAATCTGCTTCAGAGACGCTGTCAGCCCTGCAGCAAGTTTACGGAGATACTGCACCAAAGAAATCCGCAGTTTACAACTGTTTTTCCTAGCTTAAGAATGGGCAGGAGATGTTAGAGGATGACCAGCGCAGCGGGAGACCTTCGATATCCAGAACCGAAGAAATGATTGGAAAAGTGTGACAACTGATTCGATGTGATCAAAGAATGACCATCGCAGAGTTGGAGCAAGAAGTTGGTACTGTTACTGTACATTTCTATGTGCAAGTTTTGCAGAGGTTGCACAATGTGGTTCAGAGGAAGCGGCGTGACCAGTGGCAGGCATAGTGGTTTCTACATCACAGTAACACACCGAGCCACACATCGCTTGTTGTGCAGCAATTCCTCGCCGAGAAAAGCATTCCTGTCATCACCCAACCACAATACTCTCCGGATATCGCTCCGAGTGACTTTTGGCTGTTCCCTACTATGAAAATGGGCCTCAAGGGGACACGTTTCGCAACTATGGAGAACATCAAATCAAATGCGACAGCTGAGTTCCGGAAGATTATAAAAGAAACCTTCCACCACTGGTTTCAACAGTGGCAGGATCGATGGAGCAAGTGTGTGCGCGTGCAAGGGCCCTATTTTGAAGGTGATTTGGTAAGCGTTGCCAGATACCCTACCATTAGAGTGCTATACCACCATTCCGGGAACTTTTTGACTGACCCTCGTATATTACATCTTAAAGTTTGCCTCCAACTCTGTTTACTTCATCCAGTATATGAATTTCCAACATAAAAAGATAAAGATAAACTTGCCCCTTCTCTATGCCATGAAGACATATGGGGGAGTAGAGGTTCAGTTCCACCATTCTTTACCACCGTACAATATGAAGGGAATTAATTTTTTGGATTTCTTGCCACCATTCAGTTCAGAACCTTTTATTACAATATACAAAACTGAATTTTGTGTATTGTTTTTGTACAGGTGTGAAATTTGATCTCTCATCCTGACAGGAGAATACAATTGAGGGTATATGAAGACAGGATTTTGGGGGAGAGTATTTGAACAAAAATGAGTCCAAGTCAAATAAATAGCCCAGAATGTCTTTTTAGAACCCTTTTAGAAGCCATCAAAGGTTTAATATCACCAGAAGTGTTGTTATAAAGTAAGAGAACTGCTTATAAATTTATTGTCATTGCCATATTTTGGCTCCTAATGTATGCCACCCAAATATTATACATTTTTTATTATATGCAGACTATTTGGAAACATCTGTATTACTTTAATTATGATATTTTGAAACACATCTCAGATTTTTCCAGGTGCATGTTATGTTCCATTTGTACATCTGTTCAGTATGGCTTGAAACTACTTGTATTTGCTGCATATAGCTCTGTAGTTTGCAACCATTTTCAACACACCTGCTGAATATGGTTTGCATATGCCTGCTGCATGTAGCTGTGGGATTTGCAACCTTTTTCAGCACAGCTGCTGAATGTGGTTTGCAACTGTTTCAACATATGTCTGTTTAATGCAGACTGCATCTACTTGATGTATGTAGGTACATGGTTTGCAACTGTTTTCAGCATATGGCTGCTGCATATAACTGTATCTTTTGCAACCATTTTGAGCACAACTGCTGAATATGGTTTCAATCTGGCTGCTGCTGCTTGTGGTTTGCTCTCTTAACAGATTCTGTTGCCTTGTGAATATTAGTTTGCTGTGTCGAATGCTGGGTGTTGAAGCTAGCTAAACTCTGATTGGTCCAACAGTCTCTCATTATCCAGGTTGCAAAGAAGGCGAGTGTTTTGAAGAGACGGAAATCAAAAAACCGAATGGAAGTGCCTAGCAATGCATTGGAAGGGAGTAGTAATTCAAACCGACGGGAAAGTGAAGGAGATGTCGTGTTCTATATTGAGGAGCCTAAAGGAGGTACAGTTTATTTGTTGGCTAAAACGTTACTCGCATCAGTGAACAAGCAGGTAAGTCGTGAAAAGGAATAGGGTCCAAATGTTTGCCACGGATCATATAGTGCAGTGTTTCCCAACCTTACGTTACTCGCATCAGTGAACAAGCAGGTAAGTCATGAAAAGGAATAGGGTCCAAATGTTTGCCACGGATCATATAGTGGATGACATGACTACAAGAAGAAGGTTAACTTCTACACTACAACACGTAATAGATTGAGAAATACAAGACAAGAAACCTTCACACTGTAACATATATGCTTAAAATTACACGAACGGTAACTTTCACACTTCAACACATAACACATTAAAACCACTAGAAGAGCAACCTTCAAGCTGCAACATGTCACAATATATTTAACCTTTATCAGATGGATTGAAATCTCCTGCTACTGCCTGAGCTGGTAGCTGAATTTAAACTTGGCGATTATGAAATTTATGTTTTAAAAAATGTGGCGGTAGGCCTGCTGGAATCTTCTGATCTGGTGAATATTGTGGAACAGTTCTGCAGTGCATGGGAGATGAGGTTAATGTAGAAGAAATGCATCATACACTTATTTGGGGGGGGGGGGTAGTTAAATTACCTGCTTGTGCAGCAACTTCAGTTGCCCAGGACATATTGGTGCACTGTTCACATAACTACTTTGCACCGCGCCCTTCGTCTTCCTCTCCACTGAGTACTCTTATATTATTATTATTATTATTATTACGAAGAGGAAGGGCACAGTGCAGTCGTTACTGGCCCTATTGTTGGTTCCCACGCTCCCCTAGATGGAGATGGGGTATCCAAGCTAGGAGGAGGAAGCTACACTCAGTTCGTTGGCTTAGATAAAAACAAATACAATTTTAATAAAAAATATATAACAGTACATAAATAACAAACGACACATTTGACCAAGAAACTAATACAAGCTCATTTAGAAAAAAAACAATTTCCCGTCGGCACCACTTGTGTCGACACTAGAGATATCAGGACATTAAGCACTCCGGCCATACAAACGCAAGTCTAAATTCTGAAAAAAAGATAACAAACCAAATCTAATAACGCGCGTCGCAAGCGTTCAAGCAACGGCTTGTGACCGCGGGCAGTCTTTACCGGCCAGCCAGATAGCACCAAAAGGAATTTAGAACAGCCCCAGCCGAAACCAATATTTTCCACAACAAACCTGCTGGCTAGTAACCGACCTTCCAAGTCAACTTGGTCTACACGACTGCACTGTACAAGTCTCCCCTTCACGAGAGGGTACATGGGACCACGTGACTGACGTCAGGATACTGCATAGTGGGGATGGAATCCGTCACGGGAAACATGATGACATCATACGTGAGCGAGCTAAAGCTTAGAACGGCTCAACTTCAATCAGTACAAAGACAGTTAAGTGTAAAAAGGAGTTATCATCAAGATTACTGTCTTCTGGAGTGCGACATCCTGCACTTCAGTAGGTAGGTAGGTAGGTAGGTACTAACACGTCAGAGGAACCTGCTGACCCTTATCTTCTACCCTGAAGATGGGGGAGCAAGCTTTTCTGAAACATTAGTATATACCTTTAATTGTTTCTTGCATCCTGTTGTGTATTTAATCAATATTAGAGTCAATTTTACCGACCACACAACATATTTTTATTATTATTACACTACATGTTTCGACCTCAAGAGGTCATCCTCAGGTGTACGAACACAGCTGTATAATTACACGCAATCACATTCGTCTTTTCACTTATTCAATCCTATATCTTATTCAGGCCCACACTCAATAATATATCAAGCTCCTCTCACAAAACACAAGTTAAAATATTATTCTAAATGTCAAAAGTTAAAATTTTAATTTAAAATTTAAAATTCAAAATTTGTGAATCAAATTTCGATTCAGATCACGAGTTATGCTTTCACTTTCACTTGTTATTCAGTCACTTCCTACTTACTCTCATCACTGCGTCAAGTTCACTTTAATTGGTTTAATTATATTATTGGTTAAAAAGTTCATGAATTAAAGTTCAATTTTATTATAGTGATTGCACTTTTCACTTTTTGAAGGTCTCACTGTTCTTCTGCTTCCTCTGATGTTGCTGGATCTGTTACGGTCCTTGTCGTGATGGTTACCTTGACCAGAGTTCACATCACATTTTACACAGCAGTAACTTTTATTATCACTGCCATAACAGCCTTCATAGGAGAGTTACACAACCATAAGTTAAAATTATTTAAATATAATAGTTTCTTGTTCAGTATCATACATTATTTTGTATCCATTGTGATTATTAACTAATCGATTAGGAAACATAAAATGTCAGTTATTAGTAACAATATCATCTTCTGTGATGTGACGCCATGCAGTTGTAGGTAGGTACCAACGTTTTTGAACAACCTGCTGCATATTCATTCAGGTTAGAAGTGTGAAGATGGACAGAGCATACTCCTCCAAAATATTGGTACATTTCTACAAAACAACAGTAAATTCACAGTTGTGCAGTATCGAAGAATCCACAATTCTCATCGAACTGTGTAAACTTTCAAAGAAAGTTTGTCATTTTTATGAAGTTATTCAAAAACAAATTTGTGATACACATATATTCACTGGGCATGCGATATTCTCACTACCATCATGAGCAGCACTATCTGTTGTCTTCCCTCTCACAAGTGCCACTACAGTGGTGGCCAGTTGAACTTGTCATTGCATTACATTATAGTACATATACTAAATCTTTCATTCACTCATCTGCTGTTTTTCTGAGGATGATTCCCACACAATAAATAAAAGCGTAAATATATTTTTTAACTCTATGTTGGTTTTCTGGAAGTGTTCTCTCATACAACCAGCAGATTCATGTAACCAGCACATACTATTCCCCATAAGTGTGAGATACTGGAGAGTTTAGTGGCTTCACATGCCAGAACGCAATATTCTCAGTTTTTGTTGCGGTGAGAATGGTAGTTGTTATTGTCTTGTATTACAGGGACACCAAATCGTGTAAGAAGAGAAGGCCGTGGGTCATTGTTTACTAGCCAAACAAGTAGCGTCACTGAAGCAGCATCTGACGAAATTGACATCGATATAGAAGAACCTCAAAGAGTCACATCGTAAGTACTGGAACCATTTGGACAAACTGATGACTGATAAGATGACTACACTCAGAGCAAGAAGAGTCATTTACTCTGCAGTTTCTTTATTAATTACGTGTAAATATCTTTCTGTGTGGTAACTTAAAATTTTGTCTTCTTCTCCTTTATAATTTTCTGTGATGTTTATCTGATGCAGTGTTTGATGTAGATATGAATATCTGCTTACTTATTAAATAGTTTCCCTTAGTGTTAAAAGGGGCACATGTTGGCGGTATGCTGCAAGCTGGAAGGTCATGGGTTCAATTCCCGATAAGGTCATTGGATTTCTCAGTTGACCTAATCTTTCCAGCCACACTGTGGCCCTTGGGTCAACTCAACCTCTAACAGAAATGAGTACCACAAATCTTCCGGGGTGTGAGGGGAGGATGGTGCACAATGCTGACAACCTCACCACCATCTGTGAGCCGATTGTCTAGAGAAAATGTGGCAGCCTCAACGTCCCACAACTCTGTGCGCCTCCACGGCCTATTACAGGGATAGCTTTACCTTTTATTGTTAAAGATCTAGGGATGTTAACCACAGTTTCTTCTTTTTAAGGAATTCTGACTAATTATGTTCTTTGAACCTATTATCATTAGGCAGACGTGGCAAATTATTTTAAATGCTCTCATTTAAAAATTATAGTTCTATTTCAAACACTGCTTCCTTGAAACTATATATGTCTTTTCCTTGTTACAATTGCTAGCTGTTTAATTTGGCGCAGGCTGACAGAAGCGCACCGAAATGCAATCCGAGCGATACGGAAGATAAAATACTTTGTTGCACGTCGAAAGTTCCAGCAAGCACGTAAACCTTATGATGTACGAGACGTTATTGAACAGTACAGTCAAGGCCATCTGAATATGATGGTCAGGATAAAGGTGAGTTCAAGACATTCCTCTAATAAAATGATATGTGTTCGGTGTATAATACATTTTTAAGTTTCTCTGCTTTTAAGAGACTTTGTTTCATGCAAGAATAATGTAGACTATCCGGGACCACCAGCTCTCTCTCTAACATTACAGTTATTGCTTCACAAGATGTAAGGGTGGAATGGAAGATGCTGATCATGTTTAGATGAATATCGAAGAAACACTTCAGCTGATCATTGCAGAAATCCTGCATATAGTAATTTAGATGGTTAGCTGAAAAACCAACAGAATAATTGCCAGTCAAGTTAGTCTAGCAGTAATGCTGCCAACTTGTATTCAGGAAGTGGAGACCTTGTCTCCTACCTCCCTCAAGATCTCTTGAGGTAAAAAACTGTAATTAAAGAAAATGACATTTATCAAATATAGCAACCCAAAAATTAAAAATGTTTCTGCAGAAAATATTCTTTCATCCTGATTAGAGCAATCAGTGCAAGAGTTAAATAGCTTTAATGTAAGAGCGTAAGAAATTTTTCTGGATGTCCTCCTTGGAAATGTCCTGGTGGTAACCATCAGTTCTGCATAGCTGGATTGTGATACAGTGGTAATGAAGTCAGATGTTAGAGGAACAGAGTTTAAATATGGCAATGGAACTACTAGTTTATCTCTCTGGTACACAGAGGAGAACCCCCTTCTGTTGCTGTGGCCAAATGACAGCCCCCTATATGCATATGTTATTCTGCCTGACAGCCCATGTACTATATATTGTATTCCTACAGGAGCTCCAGAGACGATTGGACCAAACGCTGGGAAAACCAGGTAGCTATTTGGCAGGTATTGATCGAGCTGGGAATGTAAAGCCTATGACAATTGGAGCCCGGTTGTATCGAGTCGAGCAACAGGTGAGCAAATCTTAATTGCATGTTACACACAAGTGTTGCTTGTTTAATGACTCTGATCTCAGAGACTGCATATCTTGACTGAGGTTTGTTGTAGATTTTTGTAGTCCCTTCAGTCCTGCCAAATGCTGGGATAGTGCCTTAAATTAGACCATAAACTCTTCCTTTCATATCTTCTCTAACTCATTGTTTATTAATACCATCATTTGACTCGGCACATTAATAATAAAGAATTGAATTGAATTAAGTGCCATGAAATAAACAATAAATAAGAAAGAGATTAACATATTCACTGCTAATAATTTCACATTCTAGTGCCAATCCTGTCAAGTGACAGGTTGTTGCCATTGTGTACATGAATGTATGTTTTTCCTATAGACATTGAAATGCAGAGAAATTTAAATGCAACTTGTTAAAGCTTTAAAAAGTCTAAAAATACAACAATTATATTTTGTATTTCACTTAATTTTATCCATTCCTCTTTCAAATACAGTACATTAAGAATCTAGTTCTCATGAAGAAATTATGGGCCCAGAAGATAAAATTACCAGAGTGGGGGAATGGGGGCAGTGGCAGCCAGTATGTTAACCTGGCTGTGTCTTCTTTTCAGTTGTCCATAATGGACAAGAAACTAGACCAGCTTGTACATGTGCTGAATGCTGTAGCGCAGAAGCAGCAGATACCTATCCGAGCAGTGGAAGATGAAGTCTAGCGCATAAGATAGCAGCAGTCCACAATGATCTGGTAGTACTGCAGGTGAAGATCCTGGGCCAGTGTTGTTCTCTGCTATGTGGATTGCTAAGTTATTTGCTTCTACAGCCACTTGGATCATTAAACAGCTCTCATGAAGCCAGCAGAATTTTTATCCTGTCTCATATTTCAATATTGCACTTGTATTTCCCAACACTTACAGGTAATTATTCCATGCCTAGCTAGTGGTTTTCTGGACTTTGTATTTTTAAAACAGGGAAATAGTGTAGTTATGTCAGAGGAATAGAATGTACTGTGTATAACACTTTGACACGAAAGGATATGAAAAACCAATGCTGAAGTGTGTAATTCGGAATTGGAGTATACATTCGTTGAAAGCTTTGCCAATTAATTTAGCCAATAAGAATCATATTCTTATTCCAGTAGTGTTCAGTTAACATCATGGATAAAATGTGTAATCTGTGAACGTAATTAAAAGACTGTTATTTTGCAGACTCAAGGATAGCTTCTTATGGTTGGCTGAAGGGCACAAAATTTTTATCTACATGACAGAAGTTTGTGATACATTATGAGGAACTCTGAAACAAATCAATACTTTAATAAATGTTTAAAGGCAGCACTTGTTATTAAGAAAAAAATACTATTGTGGAAGATATCAGATAGGATAGTTGCTGTCCCAGCTGAGATTCGAACTAAGTGCCTGAGAATCCAGACAAGATCATTAATGCTATACCAACCCATTTACAATTCGATTCCTTTCATGTTACACAACCAGAATCACCCATACTTTGCCCAGTATATGGTTGCCTTCCATCACAGTATAAAAGCAGCTAAAGCTTTCAAGGAGGTATGACACTTAAACCGAGAAATTGAAAGTTTCCTGATGCAATTAAAAAGAACAGGGAGTAAAAATTTAAATTGGATCCAAAGACTTCTACAACAGCACTGTTTGTTTTTAGTATATTCAATAATGCTGTTAGCAACTCAGGCTAGATAGACATCATAGCCGAAACATTGGTCTCTATCCATCAAACTACATGTCACATTCCAGAAAACTATAATGTTGATATTTATCATAGCAAAAATTGTAAATCTAAGATTACATTTTAATGTCCCCCATAAGAAACTGATAAATGTTTGAATATATTATTATTTGGGTCACAGTATTCTAGCTCCACAATTAAATAAACTTATATTTCTTTTGTTTCTGAGTTGTGAGCTTAAATTTGATTCTATATTATGTGGTCAAATAGATTTTTTACAGAGTCACGTGCAGCACTATGTTCTATAAAATAAAAGTTTAGAAGTCCATCACTGCATGTTTCAACCAATGTGGTCGTCATCAGGTGTTAAAAATTATTGGGCAAGGAAACTGCTAGCTTCTCTTGTTACTTATATTGTTAATATACACGTGTTCTCAATGTGCATATGTGTTTGGGTTGGAGGATTGTGTTCTTTCACATTGTTTGTTGTGCTGCATATCTTGTTTTTGAGTGCTTGGTTCCTTATTCTTCAAATTTTGTCATGTTTGAAAACATTCGAAAGCATTCGAAAATAAGACGCACAGCACAGCACAGCACACAACAAGAGATAACACAACCCACCAACCCAAACACATATGCACATCAAGAGGACTTAACATAACATTAACAACATAAGCAACAGTAGAAGACAGTAGTTTTCTCGCCAAATGATGACCACATTGATCGAAACATGCAGTGATGAACCTTTAAATTTTTTAAAGTAAATAAATTTTAATAAATTTTATAGAACATAATGTTGCACATGAGACTGTAAGAAAATTAATGAACACTAAGTGAAAGTGCAACAGGATGCTACAACACAATATTTATTTTATGTGTTTGGCAAATCTCATTTTGCAGCAGTCACAGATTGTGAGCCCTTCAGCCAGTCTTCCATTTTAATATGAAATTGTGATAATATTAATATTGTCTGTATTATGATTCACTTGGCTAAATTATGTTACAATCTCAGTTACAGAATAGAATTCCAGGCACTTGATGTGTGAGAAATTTTGGTTTATGTCATATACATTTAGGTAAAATGAGGAGCTTCATATCTTGTATGCTTCTTCAAGTATAATTAAATGACCAAGTCAAGGAGGATGAGATGGGCAGGACATGTAGCACGAATGGGGGAAAGGAGGAATGCCTATAGGATATTGGTGGGAATGCCAGAAGAAAAGAGACCACTGGGAAGACCAAGGCATAGTTGGGTGGGCAATATTGCAATGGATCTTAGAGAGATAGGATGGAATGATATGGATTGGATTGATCTGGCTCATGATAGGGACCGATGGGGGCCTCTTGTGAACACAGTGATGAACCTTCAGGTTCCATAAAATGTTGCGAAGTTCTTGAGTGGCTGCACAACTGGCAGCTTTTCAAGAAGGGCTCAGCTCCATGAGTGATGATGATACATTTAGGACAGCCAAATTAGCAACAGCAGCAAGACAGCCCTTTTTGAGCCATAGCTTTCCTCAGAAGATTCTGCCAGATTGCATCCAGTTTTCACTTCTTTGGATTTTGCAACACCAGTTCTTTTACAGAGCAAGTTCGCCAGCCTTGCATCCAACCCCCAACCTGCAGGAATAGGTCCTGTATTTATGTTACCCAGTGACAGGGTGGCCCAGTTGTACCCCCAGGCACTGGGTTCCCTTTCCATTGCCTTACAACTCGCGGGACTATGGTGGAGGTGTTCTAACCCGCCACCACACTGGATTATCATACCTTCATATTGGCCAAATTCAGAGTTCACTGATACTAGTTAATTAAGTTTAAAGTTACTTGATAGCAGCATAATGCAGTGTTTAAGACTGTTTTTTTGGGGGGGGGGCTTGTCTTATCAATTTATTTTTTACCATTAAAACAAGGTGCCCAAGTTGTGCGAGTAGTCCTACTGGAACCCCCAGCAAAATAGAGTTTCTTCATCCTCCCCCCTTCTTGAACCACGGAAATATAACCCATTTTGGAAATGTGGTTTCCATATTAAAAAGTAAGGTGATGGATGAAGTCCATATTGGATTTGAGGCTCTCTCACAGCATTGCCTAAGAGGATATGAACCTCTCTGAATATTACTTTTCAGAGATTGTCATAAAATTACCACAGGTGTATATAGGGTTAAAGTCTATTACTTCATCTAAACATTGATATATCACACTTCATGCAATCTGTTGGCAGAAGTGCTATACAAGGTCATAACATTAAGCTGATTGGATCAGCTGATGACATTTAAAGGGTTCAATATACAATGATTTCTCTCTCTCTTTTCTTTTTTTTGCATATAATTAAATTTCCTTATGGAAATCATACATCAGGGTCTGGATAACCAGGAGCTGTTTGAGTTATATGCTCCTGTTGTTGATGTATATTGTGTATTGTGTTTTTTGAATGGAAATATTGCTATTAGAGCAGGACACAAGTTGGCGCTATGGTAAATTTTCACAGGCTTTGAGGAGTGATTTTGACTTTTAACTGTGGTGAAAAAACTGAAACTTGAAAAAGAATTTACAATATATCCCATGTACTTCGAGTATATAAGTGAGTTACAGCATGACAGTAAAGTTATCAAAGTGTTTACCTGAACATTATTTTGTCATGTTTGTGGAAATAAACACAAATATATTTTTGTGTGTATGTTCATGAAGATGAGGTTTCACACAAGATAATCAGCTGGTGCATATATCTGAGCAAAGTGTCGAGGTGTGTTATTCAAAGTGAAACAGCAATGAAGCAAGTAAAGCATTCGCCGTGACATACTGTGAACATACATGATAATACCAGCCATTCCCAAGGGAACCGGAAGATAGAATGTATCAGCGGACCAACGGTGTGACTACGAATTTGTCACATGGTCATATATTTCCGAACCTTTCACTAAATAATTTTACATAAGATTATAATTTTAAATAATTACTGTTATAATATATTAATAATATTGCAATTTTTAAATTCAAAGAAACAAATCACTAGAGCTGCATTATTCCATTTTTAAGCCAGATAATTTGGTAGAATGTCACATTATGTATTAAATATCATTAAAAATTAATTTTCAACATTGATTTATCTCTTGTTCACTATGCAGTATTGCAGTTAAAGAACTGTTTCATTGTCTGTGCAAAACATCTTTGGGGGTACACTGTACCTCGAGTAGGCAACCTTGTGGAAAAGAGTTCTCTGTTCCATAAAATTTCTGATATATTTATTTTGGTTTCCATTATTTTTTTAAAATAAGAATGTACAAACTTTGTAATTGTGACATAATGACTACATGACTATCTGATGATGACACAACCTCAAAGATGTTCTGGACACATTGTACTATGACACAAGGATTTTTCTTTACATGTTAAAATATTTTAATTTTGTAGTTTTATTTCTTAATAATGTAAAACCATATTAGAACAGTGACAGATACCATAGGTATGATGGAGGATATTGTGGGGTGAACACTGGAAATGACGATGAAAATGTTTCCATGTTTACCTTCTAAAAACATGTAGTTCTCATTAACTGTAATTCCCTCAAATGTACCACAAAGACAATATTATATTTCAGCATCCTGTTACACTCACACAATATATATGGACAAATACCGTCTTAAGTGCAACAATTTTNTATGTACCACAAAGAGTTACAGTTCTTCATGCTTCTGATACAGTTTAGTTTGAATCTTAAAAATTATATTGGAATGTGTATTAATACTAAAAGATTATGGAGCAAAACATTTAGGATAAATTTTTCTGAGAAACTTCGTATTGTCAAAGACTGTTGTCTTCTGGCATGTGGGCATGCGACCCTGTGCATTGTGGTAGATACTGGTCTAATAATTGATACTACCTTTTTCTAACAGGCTCAGCTGAGTAGGAACCTCTCTAACCTTACACCTGATGACAGATATAGATCAGGTTTCCAAAATTGTGTTTTAAAACCTGAACATAACAGACAATGTCCAGAACATTAGTATGTTTGAGGTGGGGTTCAATCCATAATCACAGTAAGAAAATAACTAAATAAGATTTTATAGTTAACCAAACACACGTCCTTTCTGTGCGCACACAATAGGGTACAGAAAATCTGAAGGTTATAGTACAGTGGAATTAAGGAGGAAATACTGATTTTGAAAATGTGCTTTATCCAGTTCATGGTATCATTATCAGTGTTCTCTTTGCAATATCCTTCATTAAATACTGTTACTTGGAATATAAAGAGAAAAATTATGTATCTTTAAAATACTGAGTGAGAGTCCATAAGAATCAAATCATGTATTTTTTCTGCTCTGAAAACTGAATTAGACCTTGCCATGCAAATGTAGATAGGATGGTTCTGGTACTGCAGTATATATATATATATATATCATACTATAGGCAATTCCCTCCTATTCCCTACTATTTTGAGGGATATTTACTAGCACAGGTTTATACTTTTAGCTTGTCTATTCTTCCAGTAGCAGACATGAGCAAAAACTTAAATCAGTGACACAAGACAGGATTGATATACTAATAACATTTTGAAAGAATGTATACCATGTAGAAGTCCAGATGTATTGTGACGTGTTGCGCTATGGAGGATACCCCCTCCCTCCCCAGTCGTGACGTGGCGGCATCCGAGCGCTGTCGTTACTACGGTAACAGGCAAGTCAACACTCCTTCCCCTACCCCGCCAGCGGTGACGTAACATGGGATGCCGCCATTGCTACTCAGCAGTAAACAACTCCTGACAGCGTTGCTTTGCTAGGCTGTCGGCAAACACGGCGTCAGGCAACAGTCGTGCCTATTCCGTAACTGTTTTATGTGTTGTCCGCAACAGGGCTAAATAAGGAGCAGCGAAGGTTATTCGAGTTATGAGTTGGCCAGGGAAGAGTATGCAGTCAAGCAATTGTAATACTGCAGATAGCAGTAGTTGTCAGCTTGTAAACTGTGTGATTGTATGAGCGAGTGTGGAATAAAATTCGCTATATCCAATAAGGCGTGAAGTTATTTGTCACGTTATACACCCAACACGTGACAATTTGGTGTCAGAAGTGGTTTTATGAACTTGAACGCGCCTTAATCTAGGACGAACTATTGAAACGAATGTCACACTGCCACATTATGGACATGGAAAAGATTTTGGAACTTCTGAAGGAGATAAGAGCCAACCAAGAAATGATGGAGATGATGGGAGTAGGACCTGAAGAAGATACAGTGGATACCAAAGAAGAGACTATGGCCTGCCAAGAGATGGAGGCACGTCTACAAGAAGAAAAGCCGGCCCCAGTGACAATGGCCTGCCAAGAGATGGAAGCACATCTAGAAGG